AATGACGAAAAAAACAGTAAATTTATTTCTAAAAGAGCTGGGTTTTGGAGTTTCTTCTATTAGAAGGCGGGATACTATTTGGCGTAAAAAGTACTTCGGGTGCGCCTTTACTAAATGGAGCCGCTTAGGAGGCGATCCACGGCGGCTTGCACATTGCCAAAGGTGGCTTGTAACGCGCGGATGTTCTGGTCCCGATTGGAGAAACCCATATCGTTCAACTGCGTCAGCTGCGACGCATACATCTCTTCCGGGTTGCCTGCCGGGGCTGCGGGGGTGCTTGCTGCGGCGCCGGGAAAGCCACCGAACATCGCAAACGGGTTAGCCGCTGCAGGGTTTGCTGGTCCAGCGGCTGCTGCACCAGGGCCAGCACCAAGGTCCATACCTTCGAGTCTGTACAAGAAATCCCAGTCAGTAAGTTGTCACCAATGTCGAAAGTCTGTCAAATACGCACCCTGGAATCAGTCCGGACCCACGCAACTGGCTCATGGCGTTCTGCATTTGCATCATAGCCTGCATGTTCTGCGGGTTCATGGCCTGGCGCAGGAACTCTGGGTTCGACATCATTTGCCGCATCTGTGGGTTAGCGTTCATCATCGCTGCCATCTGAGGGTTCATCGCCTCCATCTGCGCAACGAACTGATCCGGGTTTCTCGTCACTTGATCCAACGCCGCCTGGAACATGGGATTCTGCATCATCTGCGCCATCATCTCCGGATTGCCGCCCAGACCGCCCATGCCTCCCATTGCACCAAGGCCTCCCAAGCCAGCACTACCCCAAGGGTTCGCAGCAGCACCAGTAGATGCAGTACCGGTAGCAGCACCTGCTGAAGCCCACGGATTGGCAGCGACAGCGGGGGTCGACGAAGTGGCGCTGGAGGCCTGTGACTGCGTCGTCGAGCTGCTCGTCGAGTTGGCGTTCGTAGTTCCACCTGCAACACCAGGCATAGTGAACGCCGGACCACTAGGAGCAGGGGTCCCGCTAGCAGCAGCGTCCATCAGCGGCTCCTGCACGTCGTGGTACAGGCGTCGCAGCGCATTAAATCCCTCTGGGTGGCTCTCAATGTTCCGCAGCGCCGTGTCTTGGTTCCGCATCATTTCACGCATCGCCGCGGGGTTGCGCATGGCCTCCATACTCTGTCTGAGCAGCTCTGGGTCGTTCATAATGTGATTCAGTTGCGGATTCTGCTCCATGAGCTGCTGCATGGCCGGGTTGCTCTGCATGAGGTTGCGCATGATGTCCGGGTTGTTGAGGATGCTCTGCATCATGGGCGAGTCCATCATCTGCCGTACCATTTCCGGGTTCTCCATCATTTGCTGCTGCATCTGCTGCATGTTGGGCATGCCACCAGCGCCCATCGCATTGCCAAACATGTTACCGTTGTTAGAAGCGCCCGTTCCGGCTCCGGCAGCTCCAGGGAATAGCGGGAAATTGAACGGGTTAGCGGGTGTCGTAGGCGCTGCAGCCGGGGTTGGCGTAGCAGCGGGAGCAGCAGCTGGAGTCGTAGTACTAGCAGCAGGTGCTGACGTAGCTGGTCGCGCCGAGCCCTTGACAAAGTAAATGGTATCTTCCGCCTGAATGCCTGCAACATGTTTGCAATAATTAACCGTTAAGTAAGCGCACTCGTTGCGCCCAGTGGATTGCAGCGCAAGTACCGTAGCTCTCGAGTGTTTGATCGTCCTTAAGCACCTTGCCCTTGTAAATAAGTCGCTGCAACGAGGCGGGTACCTCGGTGTGGGTAACGAGCGCCTCCTTGCACTGCAGAACGCAGTTTTCCAGCGCCAAGTCCACCGAGAATTTCTTCCCCGCCGTCGTCTTCACGTGCAGATTCACCATTGTGTTGCCCCTCTATGTATAATGGGACCGGAGCGTCGAGCGTCTCGCTTCTCTCTGGAAGTTGGCAACGATGACGTCGCTCTTCTCGAAGGTTTGTTGTGAAAAGCCGATATCTGATTTCACAGGGTTTTGAATTAAATGATTACTTCATCCTTCGTTTTAGTGACGTGAGACTGTGGCGAGCACGTGGCTATGGAGGAGGTGGAGGTCGTGGAGGCCGTGATACCTGTGGATGCCGTGATACCGGTGGAGAATGTAGAGAATGTAGAGAATGTAGTAGCTATGGAGGAGGTGGAGGTCGTAGCGCCGCCTGCAAAGCGCGCCAAGAGCGAGACGGCAGGACGCTCCTGTAAGTTCTGCACTAACAAGAAGACCGTGGCCGCCGGTTGCACCATCCAAGCCTGCAAAAAGTGCTGCTTGGCACGTGAGGACATATGTCCTACCCACCCAAAAGGTAGGCACATGTACAAACGCACTGCTCTTGTTCCTCACCACTAAGAGCGATTGAAAAAACTGGAATTTGACACTTGGTGGTGCTGTATTTTTGACAGAGGTAGAGAAACCAGAGGCTGAGCCTGCCAAGCCAAAGAAGCCCGTACTCAAGAACGAATTCCGCGAGACCAATTTCCACTGTACGGAGATCTGTTTAGCATTTATTGTTAGGATAATGAGAATTAATGATCCTGTTTTATTTATTGTTGCTTACAGACTACGGCGAGACAGTGACAATCTTCTGCGTGCGAGACTTTTTTGAGAACAAGAAACTGAGTCAGGGCGTGCTGAATGATCAGGAGCGCGCAGAACGTGTGAGCGGCAAGGTCTGGGGTCGGCGCAAGAAGAAAAACGCCGTTGATCCCAAGATGAAGCTGCTGATTCAATGTGCATTAGGCAAGAGACCCGCTCCCGAAGGCTATGGGGCAGACATACCTGCTCCGGTTGCAGTGGCCGATGCATAAAAAGCTCGATAACCCGCTGTTTCATTTTTTTATTTCCAATTAACCTTTCATCCAGCACGGCATGTCATCTGCTGTGTCGGTCTCGGGGACAGCGTCCTGAACCTCAAAAGTGGCTGCGTTGTCAGTTGCCGCTGGCTTTCGGTTCTTCAGAAATACGATCTCTTCTTGAAGCTGTTTGGTACGGAACTGGGAGTCGCGACAATACTTGCGCGCGCTGTCCAGCTCGGTGGTGGCGTCCTCCAGTTTCTTCTCCTGAACGGTGTTGGCGCTTTCGAGAGCAGCTA